GGGTTTAGGGTTTAGACTTTCGGGCTGAAGGTTCAGGGAACACGAAGAATCCTAGAGCCCTGTTCAAGCCCCCCGAAAACGAAGGAGTCCCTTAAATCCCATAGAAGAGCGCTATGTAACAGAAGCCTGTAAATGCAGTTTCGAAGCCTTCTTGCAGCATTGCGGCTCGCTTAAATGATAGGGGCCTTAATATTCTGATTTACATTCTTTAACTAAGAGGTTCTCTAAAAATGTATGTTGGACAGGTAAGTTGCTGGGTCGGGTATCTCCTGGGAGGCAGAAGCCTTTCAAGGTGCCCTACACTCATAAGCCGGGTGTAGGTCAGGGTTAGGTCTCAGGGTTTAGGGTTTAGGGTTTAGGGTTAGGGTTCAGGGTTTAGGGTTTAGTTTAGTGGACGCCCCAAACCCTAGATCCTAAGCAGCATTGTAGAGGCACTTCACTATAGGGTCTAATCTAGAAGCCTGCATCATGTCTAACAGTCTAACATTATCCCTTAGTGTTCTTTATTACAGGTATACTAAAATAAGTGAGCCCAAAACCAGAAGGACCCCACATTAGATTCACGGCATGGCCTCGTGACTTTGCTTTCCCCGCTTTGACTGGCCGATCTCGGCATTGTCATTCCATATCCCTGCAGTGCAGGGTGTGAGGGCACCGGGATGTGTCCTGAACCTTCTGTTACGGTTTAGCCGGGGACAGTATTCAGACGTTTAGGGTGAACCCTGAACCCTAGACCCTCTCGCTTCAACTATTAGCTTTTCATGTTATTGAGCAGCTTCAGCGGCCATCATGTTTTCTCCCCCTCGGCATCCTCGCCGTCGTCGTTGGTGTTGGTCTTGGGTTTGTAGGCTGCATCAGCAGAAGCAGTAGTCGTCGTCGTAGTCGTAGTTGTAGTCGTGCTGCTACTCCTCCTCCTCCTACTACTACTACTACTACTACCACCACTACTACTACTACCACTACTACTACTACTACTACTACTACTACTACGGCTACTCCTCCTCCTCCTCCTCCTCCTACTACTACTACTACTACTACTACTACTACTTCCGGATGCAGCAAAGTCGAACCTTGCTCAGCCGCGTAGCTTGGCAGGGTCGCCACCCCGGCACTTAGTGCGATCCATCTGTTGTGGATCCCTGTTGGTGCACCCCTCTCTCTCCATGACTCCTCGGTCCGAGGACCCTATGAGCAGGAGCCAGCAGCTGACTATGGAAAACATGATGAAGCTACAGAATGCATTCGCACCTAAGGAAGGCAAAACTGGACTTCGCTGTACGGCTGTACGGCTGCAGGAGGGAGGGGCTAACTATTATCCAAGACTAGTGCACGTCACAGAGCCTGTAAAGGAATGCATAAAGCTGAGGCTGGTACCTGAGAGCTTGATCCGGGCTGAGAAGGGCAGCACACTGGTTATCATCCGTTATGAAGTCACCTAGAATATCCCCATAAAGGATGGCTCTATAGTGACCGGCATGTGGACTGTCGCCTAGATGCAAAATCGCGGCAACTCGGCAGTACCGCCTGTACTGCAGGGCCAGCGGGGCAGCATGGTCCAGATCGTGCAGGAAAGCGGGTATCATGAGGTAGGGATCGGGCTGAAGTGACGTTGTAACCTTTAGGGTACCCTCGGGACTAACCTCAAACCTATTGATCTGGACCAGCAAGGCTTCAGGCGCATGCGTCATGCCGTGTAGGCCGGCCTGAGAGCACTCCCACTCATCCACTAAGTGCTGCAAAGTCAGTGCAGCGCTTGTCCGAGCTTCCAGCGCGGAAAGCTGCGCCGGCAAGAGCAGAGGCCACGTGTTGCCTTCGTCCAACAATGTGATGTGTGCATCTTGCATCTGACGACACTGCCATCGGCCTAGTGTGACATCCGAACCCAGCTTAGGTCTTAGGTACCCTAAATACTCGAACACATCGTGCTGGCGGTGTGGCTCTACCCAGCCACTGTGCAAAGCACGCCACGCAATGTGCTGCCAGAGCACGATCGAGGCCCCAGGCTGTCGTGTGCAAAGCCACTGGCAGATCTGCCTCAGACCCCTGCCGAGGAAATCAGCGTCCACCCGACCTGAGGTAGTGGCCCAAAACCAACACAGGATGCTTATCGCCGCATGGCTATAGCAATGGTTGCTAAGATTGCGTAATCTGAGCATCCGGACAGCTCTTCGGAGAGCCTCTGCACCGTGTTGGCAAGGGCCGACCGCCCCATCTTGTCTCCCTCAAGGAGGTGGACACCACCCTGGTCGCCCCGCTGTGACTCAATCGTCCAAAGCTCTCCCATAGCTTGTGGGCTTCCTGTGTCCGGATTCCCAGCTCCAGCATCATAGGGACAACCTCCCCCGAAACATTCCAGTTGAGCTTCCTCGTCGCATGGAACCGCATGATTCCATGCGGGGCCAAGATCATGGCCTCCATCTGGCGAACGAGCTCCAGGATCTGGTCGGGAGTCATGGGCTCCCGGTCTGTCTTGATTTTCATGGCCTTGGCCTGCGCATCCCATTCCAGGTAGGGGACCGCTCCAGAGGGATCCAAAACCAGCATTTCCATTGCCTGTTTGCGGGCTTCCTCCGTGGCCAGGCAGGCTTCGAAGCGGGTGCGCAGCAGCTTCAGCCAGTTTCCCATCAGGAAAGTCCGGAGAGGAAGCGTGATGGTTCCCGGCTGCTGCTCCCTGGCCTCCTTCCATGTTTGGATGCCCTTGACCATCTCCGGCACCACAGTGAGCATCCCCGTGGTCTGCAGGAACATAATGTAGTTCGACTGGGAGCGGTTGATGGACATCTGGTCCTCGTGCCTCAAGCTCAGATTGGTCAGCGCCGAGCAGAGGTTGAGCAGTGCCTGCTCCGTGTCGCGAGAGCGCTCGTTCCTGTCTGTGCGGTCGGATCGTTCCGATCGCCGGGCACCTCCCCAATAGCTGGGCTGGCGTGCTTGACGAGGTCGGCTGCGGTGTTCGCGATGGTCGCGCTGCCATTCGAAACCATCTCTGGATTCCCTTGTGTTGCCCTTGGAGTCCAGGCGGGGCCATTTCTGGTATCCTTTGCCCGAGTGATCCGGCTGATCCTCCTCGGTCTCCAGCGCCAGACGGGGCCTGCCAGTTGCTGTCGGCTCGTCCCTGTCTCCCTCCGCAGCGGCCCTCTTGTCCCTGGAGGAGGTGTCCATCTCCGCTGGGCCCTGGCTGTCCTGTGAGGAAGTACCGCGCGAGGGGGCCTCCGTGCTTTTCTGCGAGGCCTGCACAAACTCCCCGAGAGGGCCCGGTGGTCCGCTGGGAATCGCTGTCCCCAGCTGCTTGGGGTCCGTGGCTGTCGCCATCATGTTCTGCATGAGCTTCATCTGAGCCTCGGCCGAGATGAGGTCCGCCTCCGTGGGGATCGGCTGATTCGGAGCCTCCATGCTGGGCCTGCCGAAGATGTTGCAGACAGACAATCAGAAGACCCGTTCTGTAAAGCACCGGACAAGACTGCGTGTGACGCGGGCGGCTACAGTGGCGAGCCTTGTAGTCTAAACCGCAGAACTGACAGGGGCTGAGTACCGACGTGGGCTTCTGCTGGAGCCACACGGTCACCGCCGACTGAAAATTATGGATCTCTGCATGCTGTGATTTAATGTGTCGTGACAAATAGCCTACATGCGCAAGCCACTGGTTGCAAACTGGGCAGTGATGCATGTCAGTGTCACGAATAGCTGCAGCCACAGCTTGCCATTCAGATTTGAGCACTGTTTCGATCAAGTCAGATGCAGTCGCCGGAAACATGCAGGACAGAGTCCGAGGGCTCTGCTGGTCCGGGCCGTGGGTTGCGTGTTGAACCGGGGTGTCATGCCAAGAGGTCAAACTAGTCTCCTTCGGGCTGGGTGCAGGTAGGGGCTGGGCTAGTTGTGCATGCAGGACTGTGCAGCGCTCTCGTTCGAAGTGCTGACAAAACGACGGCCAGGTTGTGAATTGCCATGAGCAGTGGCGACACGTTGGCATGCCTGCCAAGCTGTGCTTCATAAAATCACGACGCATCTCCGCCTGCGCACGCCTGACTCTGGGCTGAAGAAGCTGCTCACTTACATGTTTTTGGGACATATGAATGCGGAGGGTCCTCATGTCAGGGTAGTAGAGACCACAGACTGGGCAGGGCTTAGGGTCCAAGGGCTTGGCAACAGCTACCAGGCGAGTAGGGGCCTTAAGCGCATCAGTGTGTTTCACCAGCCCAGGGTCAGCCTGGGCGTGCAGCATGCAGGCTTCTAGCTGTTGCCACCATCGGTGGACAGGCGGCGGTTGCAGCTGAGCTTTATTCCCGTGACGACAGTATTCAAGTCTACTCCGAACCTGCTGGGCAAGGTGCTTGACCGGGTCAACGACAGCTAGTCGACTAAGGAGTTGCTCACTAGATTCATGCGTGAGGTGAGCCGGGGCTTTGCTCAGAATGCGCAGCTGCCGCACCACATGCTTGCGGAGTAACAAGGCGCCGCCTGGCGCGAAGCCCACACTGTCCAAACTGTGCAGGAGACATGTGTACACACAGGTTCTCCACACTTGCACCCTCTGCTGAAGGGACAGTCCAGCCGTCCTCAGCGTTGGCAACAGTCGGTTGAAGGCTGCCCACGAGTTGCGCATTCGCTCCTTCAGTGTTAAGGCTTCGGGCTGCGTATAGCTAAGCTTGGCCCCCAAATATGTGTGATGCACAACGATGGGCAACAGCATATAGGAGCATTTTCCTGCGAGTCCCTGTACCCTATCGTGAAGCGCAACTCTGAGACACTTGCCTTTCTGCGGGTCTCTGCGGACGTGTGCCCGCGCAGTGGATCCAGCAAGAGGGCCTTTCAGGGCCATGAGCACCACAGTTTTGGTGTGGCTGACCTTCATCCCAAAATGTGCAAAGGTGCGAAGTATGAAGGAAATATGCTCACAAGCTTGATCGAACTGCGCGGGCGTATTCACGATCCACTGAAACAAGAAGTCGTCCGCGTATGCAGTAGTGTCGGAGAGCGCAACTTGCGTGCTGACATGTTGAAGAATCAGACACGTAAACAGACACCACAATGAAGGAGCTAAGCCACACCCTTGTCTTACACCATTAGCTGTATCGATGGCTGCTGACTGACCACCGTGCGTGATTCGCATCTGCGCATGAAAGTGCAACTGCATGATGGCATATTGCAGACTGTAGTCTATACCAGCAAGTTGCATGGCTTCCAGGAGCCGGTCTCGAGGCATAAGGTCAAAAGCCTGTTGGAGGTCTAGCGATAAGGTGATCCCTCCTCGGCAAGGAGATGGGGCGTGGCCCTGCTTTTTAAGATGGACATTCTGCCGCTGAGCATTCAAAATGGAGCGCACTCTGGTGCAATGAGCCATGGCCCGATCTAGGGCATCTTGCACCGAACGTCCTTCCAAGTATGAAAACTGGGGAAGACCATCTACTAGCTGCAGGAGGTGTGGCTTGATGCGACCATTCATAATGGTGGCAAGAGCTTTGGCTACCGGGTGCAGTAACGAAATGGGCCTTAATGTTTCTGGGCCCGCCACGGGCTTGTGAGGCTTCGGCAGCAAACATATATCAGCTATGTGCCACTCAGAAGGTGGAGGGAGGTACATGTGCGCCAGCCAGTGGTTGACGGCAGGTAGAAGACGCCCTGATAGAGTGTCGGAGGCAAACCTCCAGAGGAGGGAAGGAGCCTCATGAGGAGGGAGCGCCTTGCCAGCCGGCAGAGTGGCCAAGGAGGCCTGGAATTCCCCTAGCTCAATCTGCAGGGGTTGGTCAGGCGGGTGCATGTGAGGCATAGCCGCGAGTGGCTGATGATAAAGGTCATCATAGAAACTACGAATGGCTGCCACAGTATCCGCAATACAGAGTGGCATCCCATTGGCCGCCCGAAGCTGAAGTTTGCGCTTGGGCGTTTTGGGTGCAAAGGCTCGTAGGATCTGATAGACCCTCTGCAGGCCAGGGGCCGATTCCGAAGCTTCTTGTAGCATTCTGGCGAACCGAAGCTTCTTGTTGGACCTGCAAATGCGCTTCAGTTCTCGCTGATGCGCCTGCAGTGCCGACTTGCAATGCCAGAGGCGGAACAAGCAGCGGAGCGAGGTGCGCGCCAAAGGCGTAAGTTCTCGGATGGTGGTGCGCAGGCGCCATAAGCGAAGGACTGGCTGGTCATCAGTCTGACGTGGTGCAAGCGGCAGCCCGCGTGGCAGTGTGGCCGTGGCCGCCTTCCAGGATTGCATGAGCAGTTCTCTCGCAGGAAGCGCCGGCTGGGCATCGGCAAGGAGGCCAACTTCGTGGCGGAATCTGTCTGGAAGGTTGGGATGCTGCAGACATAAGTCTCGGACCCGGCGTCTGGAAATCGTGGGCGGGGCAGGTTTGGCAGTGGGCCTGCGTGGCGGAGATATACTACCAAGTAGCGGCAGGTGACGCATGCCTGTGGTGGGCACGAATGGGAGTGCGACAGGAGCCACACATCGTGCAAGCTGATCAGCAGAGCATCGCCGCATGATGGCAAAGTCAATTTGACTGTGTCCAGTGGCTGTAGCCGGAATGTACGTGCAAGCTCTGCGGCCAGAGGTGCCCCAGCTGTTAAGCACAGTAAGGTCAAAGGTCCTAAGGAGATCTTGCGCCGTGGAGGCATCCGGGGCATGACTACCTAGACGCTTGTGTATCCCTCTACCGACCATGGAACCTTCGGTGCTAAAGCTGGTATTCAGGTCTCCCAGAAGCAATACCTGATTTCGGAGCGGCAAACTCTGCAGAAGAGACGCCAGCTGGGCCCAGAATTCAGATCGCTTAGAAAGTAACCTATCCTTGGTGACGGCTCGACCAGAGGTTTGCTTGGGGACAGACCAGGCATACTGATAGCCAACAACCAAGTCAATGCTGGGATCAGCTTCGATCCTAACATGCAAGAGGCGTCCCGGCAGAAGCTCTCTATGTTGCACGGTGTGTGGTGGACAAGTGTGGGTGTCCAACAGCACAAGTAAACCAGCTTCCGCTTTGGGCATGCCACTGTGTATGGCCATAAATCTGCCAGTGTTATATTCAAGAGCTCCACGCCAGTGCGTTTCTTGAACTGCCACTAGGTGAATGCCCTGGCCTGCAGGCGTCTGGAGCCAGGTGTTGAGCTCCAGATTCCGCTCGCTCGAGAGGCTTCCTGCATTCCACGACATAAAATGAATGCGCGGGCTGGGCTGTGCATCTCTCGAATGGCGCGGTGGTCGAGGCTGTCGCATCTCACAGCCCAGCTGTGAAGCATTCCACCAGCGACCTTTATACTTGGTGTATCCTAGGTTCATGGCTCGATTCTGTGCACGTATAAGAGCTCGTTTCCTGACGGGTTTTGGCTGTCTAGGCTGAGCTTGTAAAACACCGTTACTGTTCGCGTTTGTGGTAACGCGATGGAGCGCAAAATCTGAAGCTCCAGGGGGTTCCTGGTGTGGATGGCCCCCAACCCTCACGTCTATACCCTCCGGGCTTGCACTGGCTACGGATAGCAGATGCAATAGAACAAGTCCTGACAGCGCCCAGGCTGTGCGCAAACCACGGAAGGTATCCCTGGACTTGGGACCAGGGTGGCCTTTGCTGTGTATACGGTGGGCAGGTTTACAGTAGATACTAGGGGCAGGGGTGCGAAGCCAGTACAGCAGACAGCCTACGACTACTCGAGTAAGTGAGCTGTACAAGTACTCGCAGCAGCTACCGCTCACCAGCAGAAAACTCAGAAAACTCAGCAGTCCTGGAACAGCGGGAACAGCAAGAAGAGGAGCAGGGCCTGGTCGATATCGCTTTCGCCGACGGGGTCGTGGCCTGGTTGGCGGCCGCCTGAAACGCCATCTGCGCCAGCGCTTGCCAGCACATAGAAGCCTGTCAGGCTCTGGGCCCCGAAGAGGACGAGGCCGGTTCAGGTCGAGGCTGCTCGTCCATGTGCGCAGCGAAACGGAAGAACCACTGCTGCACTTCCAGCTGTTGCCTGCTTGAAAGGAGTGGCCAGAGCAGCCGCATCGCCGGCCTGTAGAAGGTGTTGGACGCCAACTCCACCGACAAATGAGCCACCATCGCCGCATCAGCCGCCCCTGCCTGCTCCAACAACGAGGAGTATATCGCTCGTTGGAAGAACTGCATAGCCACCAGGCGATCCGGCATGGGCCCCCTGGGTAACAGTTCCAGCCATTCCAAGTCATTGGCCTGCATGTCTTCCTCCAGCATGCACCTGAGTGCCGCAGACATATGCTCCAGGTCTCCGCGTCGCTCCGGAGATAAATACTCCGAAACATTGTACAACAAAGTTCTCGCTGGATCCCTGCCATGGCCCTTGCGGTACTCACGAAGCTGAGCCGAGGCCTGCTTAATCGGAAGTCTCTCCTTGAGCTCCCGCTCCAACTGCTTCCAGCAAAGTCCTTTGAGGAGCTCCTCGACGAAGGATTGCCGCTTGAGCTGGAAATGGTGTTCCCGCTCCGCGAGAGCTGCGGTCCGTGGCAGAGGCGAGCGGCAACCGAGCTCTGTCGCCTGAGTGGCCTCTCTGTCGGAAGTCTGAAAAACTTCATCATCACTGCACAGTGCCATATGGGCATCACCACCAGAAGCAGAGCTGTCCTCATTATCGGTGTCATCTTCCGAGCGCGTGATGGAGCTGCTTGGTCCATAAGATTCATCTGTCTCGCTTGAGGCCAAGGAGCGGGGCATGCGTCCCGACCCGAAGGTCCCGTATGCAGACGCACACCGCTTCAGCAACTCACCACTGCGGCTCAGCACCGAAGCATCAAAGGAAAAA